CACCTTCCTGGGCTCCAGGACACCAGGTGAGTATTCATGCAGGGTATCGGGAGGGGGTGGGGGTCAGCAGGGTTGTGAGCAGATTTATGGGTTTGAGAGGGGCAGCCTGGGAAGGGGGAGGCTGGCCCAGGCCCCGTAATCCTTCCCAACAGTGTCTCCAGGACATCTTGGCTGGGGGCTGCCCCATGGAGCCAGTGACCTTGCAGCTGTCCCCGGAGACCTCCCTGCACCAGGTAACGGGGAGAATTTGGGCACGGGGCAGACAAGGACCCTGGGGTAGAGGGGAAGAGCCGAGAGGGAAAGTTCGGCTCTGGCTTCCCTGACACACAGTGTGGCCCTCTGTTCCTCCTGGGTCCGCTTCCTCATCTGCAAAACGGACACAGCAGCTCCTGCCCCCTCTGAGCCTCACTCCCAGGGTTGTTGAGACGATGCAGAGACTAGAGAAGTAAGAGGGAGTGGGCAATAGAAGCCTCCGGGTGAAGAGAGGCAGTGGTTAAAATTATGTCTTGCATCAAGACACACATGGGTTTCAATTTCAGATCCATCATGTTCTCTCCGTGTGATCTTGGGCAAATTATTGAATCGCTCTGAATGCTGATACCCAGCACCCCTGCAAACACAGAGCCTGAAACATGGGGAGGATGGGGAGGGGCAGAAGCAGGCTGGGGGTCTAAGAGTGGTCCCAACCTCTCTGTGCCACTGGATGATGCTGAATGATGCTGGATAATGGGGGCCTTGCCCCTGGTCCCTTGTGTGGACTCTGGCGACCCCTGGTGGTCACTTTGGACATTGTCGGCCCAGGTCCCTGTCTTACCCACCAGCATGCGTTCTTCCCTCCGAGGCTGAGACATGGGGGTGAGGGTACCGCTGGGCAGAGCCCTGGGCAGGGCCCCCATCTCTGCTCAAAGCCCTCAGGTTAGGGAGAAATGGAAGCCAGAGGGGTGGGGTGGGTGCAACCTGTCCTTCAGTGTTTCCTAACAACCCCTCCTCCAGGCACACAACCTCTTCGAGCTGTTGAACCTTCAGTCCCTCTTCGTGACGTCTCAGGGCAGAGCTGTGGGCTCGGTGTCTTGGGTGGAGGTACCAGGGTCCCAAGGGCAGAGCAAAGTAGAGGAGCCACGCTTGAGCAGGCTGGGGGAGGTGGAGGGCACCAATATCCTCCCGTCCAAATTTGGAGGGGCCCCATGGCATTCTGATGAGCCCCACTTCCTGGCCCAGAGTGGCCACTGGGCTCCGCTACCCCGACCTTATTTCGCGGCCAGTGGTCAGGCCTGCCAGTCTCTGGGTCTCCATGATCTGATCTGTGCAATGTGGAGGCACTGGCTCTTAACACTCACCCCGGAATCAACCCTGAGGGGAATCAGCAATACTGGAGCCCCTGCTCTCAGCCTCCGCTACACCCTCCCTCCAAAATACCCTCTTTCTTTGTTCTAGTTGAAGAAAGCAATTTCCAACCTGACAAACCCGCCGGCCCCAAAGTGAGCCAGCCTGGAAAGACGAAACGCAGCGCTGCCCTGGGGAAGGAGAGTGGGCAGACAGCCTGCTTCCCTTCCCCCATCACAACACACCTCTCCCCTCCAGCCCAGCTCAACTCCCTGGCAAAGCAGGCAGCTCTGTCCCAGCGCCAAAGAAGGCCCCATATTTACCACGTTGCATCCTGGGCGGGTCAAGTGCTACATAGCTTGAAGGACAAATCCCACCCTAGACAGAGCTCAGAATGGGAGACAGCAGAAAACCAGTACATAGCGTGTGCTCAGTGAACGTTTACCAAATTCACCAAAGAAGAGACTGGTGTATGCTGTCACCAAGGGCAGGCACAGATACCCTGTAGGCATTGTTTGACTCCCAACCAGAGGCTCCTGAGAAAAATAAAGCCATTCCCCAGAGCCACGGTTCATCCCTCATCTCAGCTCCTTACCTGTGCTGGCCCTGAGGGAGCTCTTGGGGTTCCTTGGGGTCACATGGGTACTGCAAGCCTGGGTCCCTGGTCTCCCACTCCTCCTCATGTCCCCCTTCCTGGCAGGGAGATATGGGGGGGGGTCTCCCACCAGGTCTTATGATGCTCGTCCTCATGTATAGGCAGTACCCGGTGGCTCACTGACCTTCATCCTAGCCCCAGCCTCCTCCTTGGCTGAGTCAGGGCTGATAAAGTGGGATCCCCAAGAGTGGCTCCTCAGGGAGTCCACGGAACCTTGGGCAGCCTCCATGGGGACTTTCCCAGCTGGGTGGCCGCACATGGACCAGCTGTATGTGTGTTGGGAGTAGGGGTCCTCCCCTAAGTTCCCTAGACATCCCCCCAGGAACCCCGAGGACACATCTTCCCCAGCAGAGACCAGGCCAAGTTCATCCAGGGTGAATCCACCACTTTAATGTCTTCAGAGAACCTTCAGGGAGATAGGGGGAGGGTGTAAAGAGGGGGAGCAGGGGCACCAGGGTTCAGAATGCGAGATGGACAGACGCTCCACGGAGACAGGTATCCTTGTGATGACAGATTAGGAGCAGATGCTTAGCTACCAGAGGAGCCTACCCCACCTCTGATGGGGGCGGGGGCAGAAGTACAGAGACAGGGGGAGAGGGACTGAGACCCGGGTCAAGGCAGGGTCCTCAGGGCCCACTCCGGGTGGGTCTCCAGGCCCTTCTGTGGTTGTCTGCCTGCGGGCCTGCCTGTTGGCTCCTCTGGGCGGCCTGCCCTGGACTCTGCCGAGTCCTCGAGCTCGCTAACGGTAGAAACCCTGGTGGGGTCAAGTACCCACCTGAGCTGAGTAAAGAAGGGAGAAGGGGGATTATGGCTCCGCTGCTGGGGAAGGTCCACAGAGGCCCAGAGTGGTCCACAAAGATGCTGCCCCCCATCTCTGCCTCACCCACCCCATGCCAGCCCTGAGGGATCAAGAGAGGCCCAGCCCAACCTGCTGTCCTGACGCACCTAGGCTACCCGCCAGGCCAGGTCACAGTGTGAGCAGGATACAGGCCACACGGCCCCGCCTCAGTTATAGAATACCTCGTCCTCCTCCTCCGAGAGGGAGCCGCTGTCCACCGAGGGCAGGGAGCCCTGCAGGCAGGCCCCACCCTCGGGCCCTGGGCCTCCTGGCAGCCGCTGCCGATGCTGCTGTTTGGGGCTGGGGGGTTGTGGGGCAGCAGCCATGATGGGGGGCTCCTCGGGGGAGGGCCAGCCATCAGGGGAGAGGCCAGGGGACGAGAAGGCCAGAAGACTGTCCTCTTGCGAGGGGCTGCTCGGGAGACCGTCGTCAAGGCAGATGCTCTCCAGGCCTGGAAGACCAAAGGGTGAGCGGTGAGGGAAGGGGCCCTGGTGTGTGAGTGGGAGGAAGACCAGCCTCCAAATCCTGCTTCGTCACTGCCAAGCTGTGTGACCTTAGGCAAGTCACTGAACCTCTCTGAGCCCCAGTTTCTCCCTGGAGGTGACCGGAGTGGTGGCAGCAGTGAGCAGAGTAGTTAAGCGTAGGCTCCATATGGAACCCTCCTGCGCTCTGAGAATTGGGACGACCAGTGTTCTTCCCAGGCCTTGCCTCCCCTCACCGTCAGAGGGAGGATTCAATGAGAAAACGGGTATGCAGGCTGCACGCGGAACCCAGGCTCGGGGAAGCCCTCCGTAGCAGCCCTGGGTTCTAGGAAGGTGCTTGGTGTTAAGGTTCAGATCCTGGCTCGGGGGCCTCCAGCTGTGTAACCTGGGACAAGCTTGTTAGTGCCTCAGTTTCCCTTACTTATAAAATAGAGGTACACATAGGAAGACCTACTTCCTCAGTTGTGTGCATTAAGTGCAATAACACATATAAAGCACTTAGCGCAGTAAGCCCTTAATTTATATCATCGATTATTATTACTATCATCATCTCTTTTATGCTCCTGGCGCTTCTTGGGCAACGGGTCGGGCAAGGATCACCAGTCCCACTTTTCGGATGAAGACGCTAAGCTGAGGGGAAAAGGGGCTGGTCTGAGGTCACAGGGTGGGTCTCCAGCACCAGCTCTGCTCCACCCACCCCACCCCGGCGCCCACTCACGGGCAGTGCCCTGTAGATGGACCATGTCCTGGAGGCTGTTCTTGGGGTGCATCTCCTCGTCGTCCAGCGAGGACCAGGCGCTCAGTGTGGCCTCGGCGATGGCAAACTGCTCGGCGACCCCTGTGGGGGACAGTGGGACGCAATTCAGCGGGGGCATGAGACAGGGTGGGGGGTGGCAGTGCCAGGATGGCTGGCACTTGACAGCCTGAGAGTTAGCTGGGCCGTCCATCCAGGCCCCAGTGATCGGAGTACCTACCTAATGCCCCAGCCATCCCAGGCCATTGTCCGTGCCCAGACAATGCCTGTGTGGTGATGCTGTGTCCCCTGAGGACCACAGCCCTGGGCAGTCCTGGTCCCCGAGCTGCCCTGTCCCCCACTGACCTGCAGCAAAACGGGCCTCCCGCAGCTCATCTGGGAGGCAGCAGTAATGCTCATCCTCGGCTGGGGACAGTGTCCAGTCTGACCGCTGGGCGCTCCAGCCTTTCCACTCGATGAGGTGTGCCACGCGGCCACGTGCCATGGCCGTGGGCTTTGTGATATGGTCCTTGATGCTCTGTACCACCCCTGGGGACATTGAGAGCAGTCAGGTGACTGCCCTGATACAAGGCCCAGCTCAGAGCCCCAGGACCCCCAGTAGCTCAGGCCCTTCCGATGGCTTGTACCCCACGTACATTCAGTACCTTGTACGCAGCCAATGCCCCGTGTTCTCAAAGCCACATACCCACCAATGGCCTGTACCTATCCAACCCCTCATGCTAGCCAATGCCTCGTGCCCACTCCCCGCCCCACGCCCTCCCCCAGTCCTAAGGCCCCCTCACTTACATGCTCCCCTGCCACTTCCAGGCCCCAAGCTCTCCCAGTGTCCTGCTCCCAATCACTGTTCCTGCTCCGTTGGTGCTTCTTCCTCAGTCCTGCCACACCCCACTCCCTTTATGACAAGCTCAGACCCTTCTGTCCAAGGGTATCTGCTCCAGGGTCCACTCAAGAGCCACTGAGCTCTCCCCTTTTCCATTAGTTAACAAGTTCTGAGAGAGCATCCCTGTGCCTCGGCCAGTGCCAGCTCTGCTGAGGGTGAGACCCGCGTGGGGTGCAGCAGGCAGGGAAGGCTTCCTGGAAGAGGTAGACTGGAGGTGGGCTTTGAAGACAGGCTGGGTTGGACATATCAAGGCAAGATTGGAGGATATTTCAGAGATGAGAAGAGGACGAAGGCATGGAAGAATCTGGTGGGTTCCAGGGTTACTGGGACTGGGGTGGCAAAAGCGGCTGGGGGCCCCACAAGGGTCCAGACTAGAGGCTGAGAGAGCCATGCTGAGGGCACCTATGTTCCCCATATGGCAACGGGGAGCCACAGCAGGATAACAAGCAGAGGAGTGGCAGGTTAGATCTGTCGTTTAGGAAGATCATCCTAATTAGGGACTTAGGGGCCAAGGATGGAGGCGGGGGGACATTCAGGGACACTAAAGGGAACCAGAAAGAGAAAGGACAAGGGCTGGGCAGATGGGGCGGAGGGCCTGGCGTTCTTAGGAGCAAACCAGCTGGATGTGGAAACTGACAGGGTTGTCAAGAAGGATTCAGCATCTCCTTGAACCAGATGGAGAGCAGATCTGGGAGTCGCCGAGGCCCCAGAGCCATGTTGTGAGGAATGGCGATATTTAAGAAAGACAAGGCAGGGCCGGCCGAGTGGCTCAGTTGGTTAAGAGCTCGCTCAAGAGTTTGAGCTCTGAGCAACAGCGGTTCGATGCCCAGCCCGAGCTGAGCAGCCGCTGAGCTGCCAACAGGTAGCAGGATGGCTCAGCTATAAAAAAGAAAAAAAAAAGAAAGAAAGAAAGACAAGGCATCCACAAAGGACACGCGAGATGCACCACTGTGAGAAAATGGAAAAGATGGAGATGAGGAGGACCCCTGCCCCAAGCTGGGGAGCGTTGGCAACCAGAGGAGGTTTGGGGAGGAGGCGGTTCAAGTGGCCCGTGAAGGGCAGGTGAGGTGGAGGGAAGGGGTATCAGGCGGAGGGAACAGCATAGGCAAGTGTGGGGACAGAGGACAGCAAGGAAGGGACTTAATCAAATGCGAGCCCCTGGAGCACTGAGCAAAGTTGTGAACAAAGAGACCGCTGAGAATGGGCCAGAAGGCTGTGGGCCACCCAGGCAGATGCTGTGACAGAGTCCCTTTCCTGGCCTGTGTGCCCAACCCCCAGTGCTCACACCTGCGCCCTTCTCCAGGGACTTGCCCTTAGCTGATGGCAGCTGCCTCACCCAGAGATGCCAAGAGTGGGCCGGGTCCTCCCCAGGGGCCAGCAGTGACTGACGGATGGAATAATATGATGTCAGGCCTCTCGCCTCACTCCAACAGGTTGCCCTTGAGAAAATCCCTCAGTAAATCACTCCCCCAACCCATGGTGGCATCTGTTGTAAACAGGCGGAGAGACCATACCAGGCACACATCTTAAAAATCAGGCCATTCCTCAGAGCTCCTGGAGGCCCAACCATCTAACCCATGAGGGCGGGAGTGCTAGGTCTCTACTCCCTGCAGAACCCAGCTCGGAGCCTGGCATTGAGAAAATGGCAACGCCGCGGGGCCACAATCCTTCCCGCTGCAATTCAGCCTTGCTTCCGCCCCTGCCCCCCAAAGCTAGCGTCCGGGGTGGACAGTGCAAACTCCAAGGGTAGGAGAGGGCGGCTGGCACCTACCCACAAGGGACGAGGTGGCCAAGGCTGCCACGTTGTAGTTGCTGGAGCAGGATCTGGAGTCAGACAGGTAGCCGTTAGTGGTCTGGAAGCACCTCTGCAGGAGGGAGGAAGAGTGAGCAGGTGAGGAAACCTGCCCGACATGTCCCCCCCACCACTACATCCCCATTACCCACTCTCCCCAGGGCCCCTGGGCAGTGGGCAGGGCCAGGGTGATGCTGCCGACTCCCACAGGACCACCCCACCCCACTGTTTTCATCAGGACGCCTTCCCCAAGGCTGGCAGGACTGTGTGCCCAGGCTGGCTAGACTGGGGCATGGGCAAGTGCACTGACCTGCCAAGGATCCCAACAGAAATCCATCTGTTTGTCCTAAAATAAGAGAAGAGGATCAGGCAGGGCTTGGCACATTGTGCCAGCAGGTGGCATGAGTCTTAGAGTCCTGGGTGGAGGCGCGGCTCCGCCTTTTGCTGCTCCCTGAGGTTGGGGTCTGCCTACTCATGGTTTGTGCCCTGGTGTCCCCTGGCATACAGAGAAAGAAGTGTGGTGGGTAGGGAGGGAAGGTGGCTCTGCCAGGAGAGGCAGTGGGTGAAGGGGATAGATCACACCTGTGTTTGAGTTTTGACTCTGCCAATTCTGCCTGGGTATCGTTAGACTAGTGCAGGGGTCGGCAAACTGCGGCTCACAAGCCACATGCAGCGGCTCTTTGGGTACGTTCCGTCTCAAAAGTTTGCCAACCCCTGGAAGAGCCAATCCTGTCCCTCACAACAATTTAAAAATTATTTGAGAGCCATAAATATATTTTTACATCATCACCATTAGGTGAATAATACCCTTTAAAAATTTTATAAATGAAACTATGCTAGTTTTATTTTCATTTTCAACTTTACTTCAGAGTCACATGTACGTATCCAAAGAGCCGCATGTGGCTCGCGAGCTGCAGTTTGCCGACCCCTGGCGGCTCTTCCCTCTCAAAAGTTTGCTGACCCCTGGACTAGTGACTTAACATCTCAGAACATCAGTTTCTTCCTCTGCAAAATGGGACAATGCCCTTTACCTCTCAGGCGTGGTGAAGCCTAAGTGACATAACATAGGCAAAGTGCCTAGGACAATGCTTAGCATGCGGTATGTGCTCGGAATGTTTTAAAAAGGTAATTTTATCAACTGATAGGTTCAAAGCCACAGCCTCTGGGGCAGGGGTGGAAATCACGCAGCAGGATCTGAGACCCCTAGCAGATTCTTCCTAATCTAGCTGGACTGAGGGCCCTGTTCCTTTTACTCTCCAGCAGGGAGTGCAGGCTAAGGAGTTGTGGGCTGGGAATAGAAGTTGTTATTTGCAAGGCTGCGTTAATTTAGTCGGAAGCCCTTCAGGGTGGGACTCCCTTTTCTAAACAGGCCTGGTTCAGTCCTTGGATGCCCAGCCCAAACTCACACCTCCATTCAGCCGAATACCAAACCCCAGGGGCCCCAATCCCACAAGAAGTAGCCAAGTTAGGCAGGAATGGGGGCAGGGGAAGGGGACAGGAATGGTTTCTGCTCTCTGTAGGGAGCTGTAAGGGGATAGCCCAGGAACCAGGAATTGGCAGGGGTAAAGGTGGGGAGCACACGATACCTTGCCAGTGACATGGTCTGGAGCAATGTTGGGTGGGCGGCTGGCGGGCAAGTCTGGGCTCAGGGGGTCTGTGCCCTGAGGCAGGGGGCAGTCCTTGTGGGCACTTGTGAACAGATCTGGAAATAAGACACAGGGGAGGAACTTAGAAAAACTCAGCGTTTGCTCATGAAGCTTGTTCAGGCCAGCCTTGCCATGGGCATTACTTTATTTATTACCCATTGTAACTTTGTAGAAAACAGACTCAAACCCACAGCAGGTGAAGGAGTCCAGCCAGACCGCCTCCTGCCAGGTCCCCTCGGTGGGAATGACTTGCCCGTCTGCTTGTTACTCCAGTTTCACGATTTCTAGCACCCACGTTCCAGCATTTTTTTTGACCCCATGGAGACCTCTAATCCATTTACCTTACTACTAGCTCCTCCTGTCCTCCCCTCTCTCCTGGCCCAGCTAAGACTGCCTGGCACACGCTAAGAGCTCTCCTTCTCAGATGCCCTTGATTCAATCCTCTGCCCTAACCCTCCGCCCGCTCCGTGCCTGGACCTGCTCCAGCCTCTCACAGGACACCGCCCTAGAGGGCCTTCTCCGCTTCTCTGATTCCTGCTGAGGTCGACTGCCTTTCCTTCTCAAACCACTAACACTGGCACCCCACCTCCTAGCATCCTGCTGCTGGCTTCTCCCCCTCCCTCAGGGAGGCCCGGAAGCCTTCAAAAGGCATCACCCCATTGTTCCCACCTCAGAGTATTGCCCTGCCCGCATTTTGCCCACATATTTGCTTTCCCTCCTGTGACAAAGGAAGAGCCGTGCACTCGCCCCAGGGCTGGGTCCCTTGCCTGCTCTCCACCCCAGGTGCTCTGCTCTGTCTCCTGTGTTGCCCGTGTTTCCTCCTCCACTGAGCGGGTCCATCCAATGGTGCCTGCCGCAGTGCCTCTTCCTCCCACTCAGGGACTCTAGCCCGCATCCTTTCTCCTTTCTCCTGCCTCATGGAGCGCCCTCAACACTGGGTCAGCCCCCAGCCCCCAAGCAGCCCAAGCATCTCCCACCCTTTAAAGTCCTTCTGCTCCCCGCTTCTCTCCAGCTCCGTGCCCATCCCCCTGCCCGCTTCACGGCCAGATGTAGAGAGAGTTGGGTCTGACCTCTATTTCCTTGCCTGCCATTTTCTCCTCCACCCATTCCAAGCAGCCTTTCATGAGACAGCTCTTTGCAAGCTGCCAGAACCTCCATGGGGCCAAGCTTAGAGGTGACTTTGGCCTCATCTTCAATGGCCTCTCAGGGACACACTGGACGTCACCCACCCGCTCTCCCTCCCTCCCTCTCCGGCCACACCCTTCTCTTGGCTCCCCTCCCACCTTGCTGGCTGCTCTGCTCTGTCCTTCTTCCCTGCTCAGCCCCCGCTGCTTGCCCCACATCACCATCCTGGGCCCTTCTCACCTTCTCTCTCTCCCAGGAGATCTCACGGTATGCAGCTGGTGCCCACATTTACACTTCCCGCCCCGATTCTGCTTGAGCTCATGACTGAATTTCCTGCACCCTACGTGATGCCCAAAAGGCATTTCACTTCCTCCACTTCCTCAATTTTAGAAAATGATGCCGCTGTCCACGCAGCTGTACCAACTAAAACTCCAGGAGTTGCCCTGGAGTCTGCCTTCCCCCATCAACCGTCCCCAACCCGTCTAATCAACCAGCAAGTCCTACTGGCCCTCTCCAACCTCTATTCCGGATGTGTCCCTCTCCATCCCCACCCTGGAGGAAGCCCCCATCCTCTCATCTGGACCAGCAGCCCAATGCGTCCTCTCCTGTCCACCCATGCGGTCCCCTCTCCACCCAGCAGCACAGGGACAGGACATTCCAGGTGAGACTGCATCTTTGCTTAACACCTGCCACCGGCTCCCTTCCATCGCACATCAGGAGAGCCAGCCCCTCACCACGGCCTTGAGGGCCCGACACAGCAGCTCCCATTCTAGATCTCATTCCCCCCCCTCCCCCTCGCTCACTGTTCCAGCTGCCCTGGCCTCCTTGCTGCTCCTCAAATGGCCACGCTTGTTCTTTGTCCTTGCTGTCCTCTCTGCCTGGAACACTCTTTCCCCAGATCTTCCTGAGCCTCCATCATTCAGGTCTCAGCTCAAGGTCACCTGACTACCTCATTCAAAGCGGCCCTCCCTGTCACCACGTTGGCCACTCACTCCCCATCACAGTCATCATGCTCTGATATTTTGGTTTATCTAAGTGTCCAATCCCTCTCCCCACAGTGAATGTGAGCACATGAGAGCAGAGACCAGGCAGCCCTGCTCTCTGCTCTGTCCCTGGAGCCTAGAACCCTGCCTGGCACTTAGCAGGTGCTCTGTCAACATTAGTGGCAGGATTCCTACCTTTATTGCAGCATTTAGCACTGGCTGTCTAGGGAAATCATTTATGTGTGGGAGCGCAGGGATCGGCCCTGCATCCTAGGGCCTAGCGCATAGTAGGCTTGCTGAGGGAATAAACAGACTGAATTGCACAACTGGGATTGCTTGACTGAATTCTTGGGCTGAATTGAGGAGGACTCCACCCCTCCACAGGATAACTAGGAACACCCTTATCACTCATTTGATGAATGCATTTATTCAAAAGTATTAGCTGAGCACCTACTATGTGCCAGGCACTGTTCTGGGCACCGGGGACATTGTGGCGAACAAGACCGAGATGGTTTCTGCCCTGATGAAGCTGACATGCTAGTGGGGAAGACAGACTATTAACCAAACACTCACAAATGAATAAGATCCATTAGACAGAGAAAATAACGATGAAGAAAAAAACACGGCGATGCATGACTGGGAGGGAGCTGAAGAGGGCTTCTCAGAGCTGAGGCCTGAGTATCAAGAAGAGCCCAATTATGTGAACATCTGAGCAATATTCATTCATTCATTCATTCATTCATTCTTCCATGCATCCATTCATCCCTTCACCCACTCAGCATCCAGCTATTGCAGGCACCTGCGGACAGAGGTGGGACTAGACTTCATCCCTGCCCTCAGGGAGATCCCAGTCTGATAAAAAAAAAACCAGCCCAAAGTCCCTCATTCAAACATAAGAACACCGTCTGAGAGCTTTCCCTGTGTGACGGCCCTGAGTCCTCACACTGACCTACAGAGGAAAGAATCTGTCGCTCAACTTTACAGATGAGGCACAGAGGGGGAAGCCACTAGCCCAAGGCACACGGCTGTAACTGGCCATCAGTTACATCTGAGCCCTGTGAGTCTGACACGGAGACTCACTGTCTTCCAAAGCACAAAAGAAGTTTCTATGAGTTCTGGTGGGCTCGGGCTGCACAGGAGAGCTGATGGGGGAGCTGGCCAGGAGCGGGTGCTGGGAGGAAGGTGTTCTAGGCAGGGGTGCAGCTTGCACAAAGCCATGGGGTCTGGAAGAGAGACCTGAGGAGCAGGGGTGTCTGGGCCGCGGCAGGACACGCGTCCCAGCCTCCAGCCTGTCCTGCCTTGGTCACTGGCTCCCACCACTCGTGGCATGGAAGCAGGCGGGCGGGGAGGGGGACCTTCCTGGAGGAAGCTGTGGCCAGGGGAGTCTGAGGGCTGCAGGTGGGAGGCGTCAGGCAACCCCAGAGGCAGGGCTGTGGGGAGCTGGCTGAAGTGGGCTTGATTTGCGGCAGTGTTCACAGGGCGTGGAAGAAGTGGGCGCTAGAGGACAGAGCGGGAGCTCCACCCAATCCCCCAGACCCTTTGGCTCTCTTTCTCCTGGTTTTGTGCACTCGCAGCCCCCTCCCCATGTGCTCTGCTTCCAAGGGCAGCACCTGTGGCTCTTTCTAGGTGGGCTGCCCTCGGGCACCTGAGAATTTAGAGTGGCCCTGAGCCAGTGAGTGGAGGTGCAGGAGGACCCCAGCTTCTTTGTTTGGGATCAGAACACTCTGAGCTTAACTTTCATTCCAGAGCCCTCTGTTGGACCAGGCTGAGGTCGCCCCCTGCAGGACGACAGGCACCCTTTCCTGGCTCCAGCTCTCTCCATTTCTTCATATACCAGTAGCACCCAAATCCTCGTTTCAGGCTCTGCTCCGCAGCCAGCTGGGTCAGGCCCTGGTGCCAGACTGTCCAGTTCAAATCCGAGCTCTGGTCTTTACTCCCTGTGGGACCTTGAGCAAGTGACTTCGCCTCTCTGAGTCTCCTTTTTCCTCATCTGTGAAATGGGCAGTTGAGGGAGACTGTTTTGTCCTTCGGGAATTGTCTACTAGGGTCCCAAATTGAGAACAAAGAGGCACAAGGGCCCCATGGTTTGAAGAAAGCCATTGTCAGGGTGAGGATGGGGGGTGCAGACGCCCTCTTCAAAGTGGCTGGAGCAGGCTCTGCTACCCCAGCATCAACCACCCTTCTGACTGTGGCTACCTCTTTCTCCCCACAAGTGAAATGAGGGAGTTCCCAGACACTCACTTGCAGAGCTTTGCGATGCCTGCAAAGGAGAGACCAGCATCTCACACACCCCCGCTGGATGTCTGCATAACTGGGGAGGGAGGATGTCTGCATAACTGGGGAGGGATGGCTACTGTGGGGCTGGGGCGGGGCCGAAAATGATAAGAACTTGCTATGTGTGTGTACTGGGTCACAATACAAAATATATTTAGTCCTATGGGTTCCAGTCAAGAAGAGTTTGAAAGTCATCGCTCTTTCGGTTCCAGTGTGCACAAGCCAGGGCTGCCAAGGTACAGACAGGTGGCGCTGGCTATAGGCTGCACAGGGGAGCTTTGAAAGGAGCTGGAATATTTCTAGGGACCCTGGCCATCACCTGAGGCTGTTTTAAAACTCTGCACCCAAAGACAGGAAGTCAGGGGAGCCCAACACAGAGGAAGCTGGTAGGAAGTCAAACGCCTGGAGGAGACATGACTTGAACAAGGTCATTCGTCAAGGAGGTGACGGTGGACTTGTAGGACTCCTGGCTCCCAGCCCCTCCTCAGCCTTCCTGCCCTCAGCTCAGTGGAGGGGCATGTGTCTCCGCCTCCACCAAAGCTGCCTTCTCCCCCTGAGGACGTTGGCCCCGTGATGTCACAGGCTGGTTGCCATAGAGACATCAGGTAATGAACCAGCCCAGGGTGAAATCACAGGCTGCTTTTTGCTCAGCTGGGACCATGGCCACGCCACCG